CTCTCATATATCCCCAATAAAAATAATCTAATGGCGTTAAGTCNCAATAAAATGTGTTTCAGTGTTTTTTTCCTAAAATACTGGTTAAAAAGATATTAATTTTATTCCGGACCTTTGCACACCTCTGTATAGGCAGTGATCAAACTGTTAAGGTATCAAATTCATTGGTGATGATCATTTCAAGATATAGGTCATTAAAAAATATAAAAATTGTGGAGAAATATACCTAGAATCATATATGGGAAAATATTTTTAGGATTATACATGGGAAAACATTCACAAATGGAAAGTCTGAGAAAAGAACTGATGAAGTACTTCTCTAGATCAGATCAGAATAATTACTGACACTGAAGATAGACTTGATTTATGCCGAAATCAATATGGAAAATTGTTTGAACATCTGCTGTGGATTTAGGCTTTATAAAATTGTATGGGTTCATTTTTTTACCAATTTTTTGTAGTAATGAATTAAATAATCTAAAGAATAAGGTTTTTTTAATGACTTTTTCTGATAGAAATCAAGTAATTGATTCTATAATTGCTGTAAGCTCATAGGGTGGACTATTACGATATGATCTTTTTTTACAAAAACACACTTCATTTGGAAATGTAAATACACTATTCTCAAGATTATTTGAAGCATTTTCTTATTCCATTTTATCGAGTAGGAGATATTGGGTATCAGTTTAGCTGCATTCCAGTTGATGCTAGATCGAGATGGCAGTGCTTCTCACCTTGTGTGAAAATTCCAAAATATTAACAATTATTTCTTGAATTAAAACCTCATCACTGCGATATCGTGAAGAAAATTAGCAAATTTTTCACAAATAAATACCGAGATTTTGATATAAAAAAAGTAATATCTTCTGCGGTCAAGAATCTGATAATCTGAAGTCCAGATTAAACCGTGTCTCAGTAAGTTTAGTTCAACATTTCGGCTTCGACTATGAAGCCATTCACAAGATTATACGTCAGATTATTATCAGATTGCGGAAAAGTTTCCGCAAATGGCTAGACTTTTTGAAACAGGTCTCACTAGCCTACGTCAAAGATCACCGTGTAATGTATAATTTTATTTTTGTATCATGATATTGAAACCACTATTTCGTTTTTTTTGTTGGTGGAAAATTTTGAATTTGATTTGAAGATAAATTCATTTATTTATAGGTGTTCTCAGATCTTTCTCCTATAGATAAGAGGCATCATAAGCAAACAAGTTAATGAAGTCACATCTGTGGTACACGTTTATAAGAATGATTGTCAAAATAGTTTGATTTCACCTATCTGAGACATTATCATGTGATTTCATATGCTTGCGTGCATTTGAATCTCATGTAAAATGTTTATTTGTATTTCTGGATATCTGAAATATTTCAAAGAGATAAAGTTATATGCTGAAAAAATAAAAAGCAAGTAAAGGTTGAAATTGCCATTTACGTGGCATGTCGATTTCCTGAATTATCAACCATTTTATTGGAAATCATTCATATTTTGTTGATGGGAGTTTGGTTGACGAGTGTTTATCGAAATATTTATTTATTTTAAAATGATTTAATGATAGACAGAACATAAATGTTGAATTTAATAAGTATATATTATAATTTTAAAAATTTGCATGATGTTTCAGCTGATTTTTATTTGAATCCAGAGATGGGGTGGCCCAGCAGGGTTTAAAGTACTTTATTGACGACACTATGCAACGTTTTAGGATAAATCTCAATAATGATTATTGGATAGAATCATACTCACTGCCTGATATACATTAGGCATTTGAACATTTCCACAATCTAACCTCAGCCGTGAAAGTCTAAACCATTTTATTCATGTGGTGTTTTATTTAACTAACATTTTCCAAAAATTTGAATTTTACTGAAAAGTCTTGGCTTACAAATGAAATTGAATTCAGTAGTAAGCAGCTACAAAATTTATAAGATAAGACAAGATATTTATCGACCTTTAAAAATTACAAAAATGTTTATGTGATAAATTCACAACATAATTGTGTAGGTATGTCAAGACAGAGGTGTAGATATAAAAATGTATATAAAATATGTAAAGCTATGTAAATAATATTTGTATAGCTGTAAAAATGAGATAATCCTAGAAACTAGGCTTTATGTAAGGTAGTACGTTGAATAGACAGTACTAAATATTAAGTCCATATATGGGAAAAAACATCTTAAATANTTGAAAAGAGACTTTCCAGAGATAGATAGAGCAGAGGTTCCCAATGTTTATTTGGCCATGGAACCCTAATTGAGCAAACATTTTTTGACGGAACTCTAGCTGGGGTTTCCAAATTTTTATTTACCCATAGAACTCTAATTGAGCAACTCTTTTTGACAGAACCCTAGCTGGGGTTTCCAATTTTTAATACACCATGGTACCTTAATCGAGCAATTTTTATTTGGCTATGGAACCCTAATTGAGCTAACATTTTTTTGATGTAACTCTAGCTGATTATTTCGATAACCAAATTGTTTGCATAGTAGTTTGAATAGTGGCCTAAGTGCTGTGGCCTACACTCACCATCCCTATTCTACAGATTAGTTTGAATATTTTCATGTTACTACTTAAAGAAAGAAAAAATTATAAATGAAAAATAATCATTGTAATGAAACAATTATTTACCATGAAAAATGAAATTTAACATATTTTCTCATGATAGTACTAAAATTAGGCTGGATGCGAAGATCCGGAGCTGCATCTAGTCTGTTTCTGTATATATTTTTTGTATAAGCTTAAGCTGAAAACTCAGTCTAACATCGGTAAGTCAACACAAATTTAAGCGGAACTAAGGTAAGTTTTTCAAGATTTGCAGTGTATTTAGATCTCTGAAAGAGAGTGTGAAACCCCTGTGACCCTTCTAAGGAATCCCAGGGTTCCGCGGACCACCATTTAGAAATTTAGGAGATAAAGAATATAAACATGCCAGAAAACAACATTTATTTGATGAGTAATACGAAGAAACAATCTTATCAGAGGCAAATTTCTTCTGATAATTTAGGCATGTCTTCCTGTAAAGTTGCCTCAGAACTTTCAGGAAAAAGGGGTAATACTAAAAATTTGAGTATCAACATAAATAATGAGGGAATATGTGCTCCTGATAATCGTCTTCAATATTTTTTTCAAATCTGCACCATTAGATATTATCGAAAAAATGCGTGGAAATATTATTGAAAGCAACCTCATATTGCAAAAACTGACTATGGATGAAATGCTTGTATTGTATCCATTCACAAAACAAGAACTTTTTGATTTGTTGACTGCAAAAATGAAAAACAAGAGATTTGCGGGCTTTAATGAGGTGCCAATGTTTTTAATGAAAACAATTTTATTTGCGATTATGAAACCTATAACACATCTTGTTTATTTATCTTTTGCATTGGTGAGTTTCCTAATATTCTCAAATTGGGTAAGATGCTTCCCATTTTCAAAAATGAAGATCCACAACTTCTGCGTAACTATCGGCCCATCACAGTGTCTTCAACCTTCACAAAAATATTTGAATATCCATTTATGGACAGACTCTTAGTGTTTCTGAATAGAAATGATGACATAATATCAACATTGCAACATAGATTTCGAGTTGGAAGATCTACTTTTAGAGCGATCAACACTTTCATAGAATTTATGGAACTGGGAAAATGCCCTGTTGGGATATTTTGCGATCATAACATAACATAAATCATAACAACTTGGTAGCAAAGTTGAATCAATATGACATCAAAGAATTGGTTGAATTCTTTCATTGCTGACTGTGAACAGAATGGGTGCTTTGAGTATGAAGAAAATGTAATAATATCCACTACAAAATCTAATTCGATAAGCATGAACATCGGTGTACTGCAGAGCTCTGCACTGAGCCACATTTTGTTTATTTTATATATGAATGAAATATATTATGCCTCAAAATATGGATCAAAACATTCCTGAAGACTGTATCGAAGAAAGATGCATACATATAAGAAAATAAATGTTTCAAAATAAAATCTCGAAATATTCATCTATCCCAACTACCTACACAGTAGGTTCTGGTAAATGCCTGCCGGAAAACAACTACTTTCCCAGCTAATACCACGCTGGATATTGAATTATATATAACGAGTGGTAATAATTCAAAAAAAAAGGCTGAATCATTAAATTGTATTCATCTGAAAAATAGACAAATATATGTGTGTGTACTGAAGTGAGCCACAGCATTATATTTCTAAATTGCAACCATTTCATTATTGGCAGATGTTTCCTCATCAGGAGTAGGGTGTTGCATTGCAAGTATGTATGTAATGCATGTGCCATCGAATAATGAAATGAGTCTTAACCTAAAAAAAAATTCTAGCGCAAATATTTAAACAATTATGTATATAATCAATGTAACTTTTAATAGTTCCAATACAAAGTGTAGAGTATCATTTATGTCTAGTGAGCTTAAAAAGGAAATCTACCCTGGTGTGTGGAAACTAATGTTGATAGAAACTATATTCCAGAGTCTGAAATATACCTACCTCAGAAAAAAACACGGAAGTTGACTTAAAAATGATCTTCTCTGTACATGTTCAATTTTGAATAAAAATAAACTTCCTACAGAATATTCCAAAAATCAAGAAAAGGAAGAAGATATTGAAAATTACTTCTTTTACCTCAATTTTCTTTAAATTCCATTTTAGAAGAACATAAATCACGTTGAAAGAAATTCATTCTCCCGTCTTCTAATCAATTAATACCTTATGGTATTTTCACTATTTTCAGCAAAAGTCGATAGAAAACAATTTAAAAAAATTAATATACTGTCACTGTCAATTTGACAACACTAAACAGAAACTTGAAGGTTATGTTGATATTGCTGCAAAAATATTTTTTATTTCAATAAGGTTACCTACTATGGTATAACACACGTCGTTATGTAATATTCAAATAACGGATGGTCTTGAATTTATAGCACATTGAAGTATTGAAATAGAAAAACCACACAGGAAGTGTAATTTAAATGCCTCGCTTACCTAATGCTCAAATCCACAACAGCCTCATCGACTTCCATGTTTTCCATAAATCCCGCGGAGAACCTTTCACCTGCTGCTTCAACTTTGGGTATTTACGTAGACATTGAAATAATCGCAAATTATGTAGTCCACGAGATAAAAAAACTAAAAAATACCAAATCAAATGAGAATTTTTATATATTCTAATTACTGAAAAAAGAGTTTTTTACCAACCTCCGATACCAGCGGTGTCAATTATGATTTATTATTATCGACAAAAGATGCGATAATCAGTCTTGAGATAACTCCATATCAGCGATATGTGGGTACGTTCCCTTCTACCGCGGAAAGTTCTATTTGGTTATGACTTGCAAGTGATCAGCTACCGATCATTAACTATATGGTTTATTTTTATTTAGATTAATTGATTGATTCGCGCAACTTATCACAGTCCTACAAAAGTTGCACCAAGCCGTTTGAAACGACACCATACACGATACATATAAGCGATGGTTGAACGCACCTCGCAGGTCAATTAGTGCACCCAAATTGTAATCTAAACTCGCGTTGACAAATCGATTATCTTCTTGCATGTATACACTTTTCTGAATAAAAAGTATGTGTACCTAATTAAAGAATACACAAAAATTATACAACTGTAACAAACGAATTCCGGAAAGTGTTTTTTGAACCAGTAAAATTTATTATTGTTGATTATTTTCGAAAAATCCGTAAAAGCCATCCGCGGAACATCACCTCACTCTAGACCAAAATTAACAGACAACTGATTCGTTTCAATATGGCGTGGCCTTGTGTTATGTCTACGTTTTTGTGTAACTATCAACAACATATCTGAAATATGTGTCTTTCTCCTTCTCATACCTTTTTCCGTAACGTTTGTCGCATGCCAGTGTTTTCAATCTAGTCATACGGCATACGACACAATACCCCGCCAACGTGTAGTTATCTCTTTCACTCGGATGGATTTTAATGTGTATCTTTCATCTTCAACACCACAAAGTTGTTTGCATTTGTAAACTTCCGAGCCAATCGAAAACAAAACCCTACAGTTGTATCTAGCTCTCTCCGTTCTTCTTCCTGCCCTATAGAGTAAGTGAATGAAATGAGAAATAATCGTATTTGCAGTGGCGTATCTACTGAAAGGGATATGGGATATGCATTGTTCAGTTTTTGTTCAGTATTAAGATTTTGAAGGAATTTTATGCAATGTTATTTTTGTTTGTATTCTTTTTTTTCATTACTCGCCCGGTATATTTGAAACTTTATCCAAGTTGAATTTAGCACATTATTGGAACCAAGCGCATACTCGTTCAAGGAATCACGAGTACGAAAGTAGCTCGCTGTCACTAGGCACGCAGTTTTTGAAATTTACGATTTTCATGTACTTTTCCATAATTTTTGCTACCGCTATTCGCGAATGCTCATTGCTTACGTCATATACAGTCCACAACTGATCAACGTTTTTGCGTTGCCGGTTGGATTTGCAGTAGAGATTCCATAATTAATTTTAATGCATTTTCAACTTGGTTTCGCTATTTATAACTATATACACTTACTGAATTTTTAAGGTTTACAATGAATGTATGATGTGTATAAGGCAGGGTCTAATTTGAAGAGGAAGTTACAGGTATATTCAAATCATCAATATTCAATGGTAATGAATATTTAGTCGATCAGATGTTAGACGGTTGGTTAGCGTGAGTGGTTTGTTCTAATCACTGAAAGTGGGATGATCGATCGCTACCCTGAGATGATGGATCTACACTGCGAATAATCTGATCTCTGTTAGGAATTGCACGTTGAAGAATAAGACCTTGTTAACCTCAGCTCGTATGAATTTCAAATTTTGAGGATTATCGTTCGTATAAGAATTTCAAGATGGAGTAGTAGAAAGCCAAAAACTTCCTTTCCCAAAAATTAATCATTTCTAAAAATAATAACCCCTTCATTTCAAAGAATTTCAACTAATTTCAAATTTTCCAAACTTCAATACTCCCTTTCTTTATCACATTGTTATCTGTAAATTTTATTTTAGGCAAGTGATTATTGTTTATATAAGTATCTTAACGAATTTCGTATTTTCCAAACTTTAATACTCCCTTTTGTTTTTCATCACATTGTTATCCCTAAATTTTATTTTAGTTAAGCGAGAACTAATTGATGAACATTTTTAACTGTGAACTTGTCATCAATGCTACGACAAAGGAATAATATCCACATATCCACATTCAGGACGTCATCTGATGTACCTGTTTCGGTTAATGGAATACTCACTATCAGTTCTTGAGATCTTAGTAAAAACCGGGATTTCGAGTAATTTTGTATAGACAAGTTATTATGCGGAAATAAGAAAAAATCGAGGACTTTAATTAAGACCGAGAAACGAATAATATGTGATTATATTATCTTGTTAAAGTGAATTTTATTTTAGTGGAAAGAAAAGGCTCGCGCATTGCACATTTTTTTATAATATTTGAAGGAATCCTAGTTTTTCAAGTAAAGACTATGATATAATCTAAAGATAGTCTTCAAACCAGTTTCAGTTCCTAAAATATAATGACAAAAGCGTGTTACTTGTGTAAAAGATTAGGTATTATTTTCTGACAGGTGTAGTACTTCAGTGTGAAATTCCGCTTAATCTAAACGAAGTTTTCTAGATCTAGTCTGATAACATTGAAATCATGAGACGCTAATGATGTCAATCTTCACAAAAGCGTGTTACTTGTGTAAAAGATTAGGAATTATTTTCCGACAGGTGTAGTACTTCAGTGTGAAATTCCGCTTAATCTAAACGAAGTTTTCTAGATCTAGTCTGATAACATTGAAATCATGAGACGCTAATGATGTCAATCTTCACAGGAGCTTCATAATCATTTTCATTGACAATAAAATTATCATTGAGAATCTTTTATAGTTACAAGTCAGTCAAGTCTCTGGCAAAAAGGAACAAGAAGAAAAAGTTTGCTGGATGTTCTCTGAATCAACCTTCAGGGCTTATTAATATGTTTTTCAACACTCCTGCCCGATAGAATATTTTTAAACACTTATAGAAAATTTCAATGTGAATATTTTGATGTCTACATACAAGAAAATTTCTTATTTTCATAATCCTTCTATAAGGGTCATATTTTCGGAACATTGCTAGTGATTAAGATGGAAATGAAAACGAAAGATTATTAAACGTAAACAGTGTGTAGAGGTGTACTTCGTTGATTTTCAAATCGAAATTGACTCTTGCTCAATTGTTCGTGCAGATAATGAAAAAAATTCCAAATGTGCGACCTTGAAATGCGCCAGAAACAGCCTTGTGCCCCTACTAACAAAAAATTTAATTCCCACACTTTTCAATATAAAATGATTTTAATGTCATTGATACCTGTTGAAAGGGCATTTTCAGTAATGAAATACATTTTAGTGACTTATGTTTCCGGTTGACAACTGAGCACTTGGAGAAATTCTGATTTTGAAGATGACCTTTCCAGCTCCACATATAGCGTGGCATTTTTTGACATCCAAGAACCAGTACAATAAGTTGATATTCGAGAGATGTGCTTAGCTGATAAGTACAAGTGCAGTATACCAGCCAGAAGATTCTTATCTGTGTCTAACGGACCAATAAACTTATAACCAGTTATCATTAGAACTATTTGATGATTAATTTCCAAGGTATTAGTTCTCATCAGAACAACCTGAATTCGAAAATTAATATTATTGTCAGAACTAGCTGTGTTTCCAGGAACAGACATTTTATTTCTGCCCAAATGGGAGCAATGTTGCACGCAGAAGACTCTGCCGCTCTCTCTAATGCAGTACCAAGTACCAAAGAGAGGATCTACAAAGTTAACACTTGCGTCAACCTCATAATGCAGGTAGAACCGCAAAGATAAAAAAGGGGTGCCACTTCACAATGCCACCAGTGTCAGTTTTTCGGGCACTACCAGAAGTGTTGCCACGCAACGGCTCGCTGCGTCAAATTCGGAGAGAAACACGAATCTAGGGAAGGGAACGCAAAAAACCGAAAGACGCCTGCGAAATATGCCAGCCGCAGGGGGGCACATCCAGCGAACTACAGAGGATACAAGATGTTTCCCAGAACAAAAGAATCGCCCCCCGCCAAGAATGCGAGGGCCCGCCCACCAGAAAGCCAGTGGACTAAGTCCAAGACCGCGGCTTCTAAGAAGAAAACCTCGCCGAAGATGCAAGTCGCCAGAGGAAATGACCTGAATATCATACTCGATAGGCTCAGGAACAAATTCCGGAAAATCTGATGATTGGATCTTGGAATGGTAACGGCTCATGGAGGCTCATGGAGTTGCTGTCACGGCTTCCCATTATTATCATGGCAATACAAGAAACTAGACTGAGAGCCACATGAGATCTCCGCAACCCGTGCTTCAATACCTACATGGTCGACCAGCCAGGTGTAGCAATCGCGCGGTCCTTCTTGGTTATTAGCAATTTCAATGCGGAATCGCGCGAATGGAACTCTAGGAACGAAAACCGGAGAGGCCGGGAGTTTGTCAGGCTTCTTGAGGACGTCGAAGACACCGCGGTCGTTTCCTGGAAACTCCAACACACTATCCCAGAACGGATCATGTTCCCGACATACTCGAACATTGCCATAGTGTAGACATCGCCACCTTAGACTCGCTGGACGAAGGGTCATCTGACCACAACCCTATCCTATTCACAATCCAGTCGGAGCATATACACATTAGCCCGCGACATACAAAATTCGTCTCCAGCTAGGTTCAGGGGACCACCATGTGCACACTACACACAGTAGAGTCAGGTTTCACAAATGATCCGACATAAGGGAGTATAGGCACCAGAGGCTGACTCCCGACCACAAAAGGTGGACGTAAAAGATTATAGCTTCTGCGCACAGCAACAGTATGGAGAAGATTTTATCTCAAGGCTCTCAACGCCGGGAGGGCCATGGAGGGTGGTGGGAATCCAATATTTCTGATTTATTTCAGTTGACTCTACTACTGCAGATTCGAAATTATGATGTAGATATTTCGACAAATTTATGTTTCTGGATTTGAAAACGAGTTACTTCAAAATAATCATCATCATATTAGTTTTATGCAAATATAAAAATCGAGGTTTTGTCACTTATGATCAAAAATGGAAATCACTCCTTATAAAAATCACCAAATAACTTAATCACTTAATAACTAATTTGAAATAATCGATGTAACATCTTACAGAAAAATATTCGATGAGTTAATTTCATTGAACTCAATATTATTAAACACGTGTTTGTTAGAAAGTTCTCGAAATGTAAACCTGCAATATCAGGTAGTGTATTGAAATACAGTGTATGCCTTGAGAAATTCTGCCAGTGTGCCACTGGATGACCTGTAATCAATTTGAGCCCTTGGAGTTGATTACCAGATGGCTGGAACTACATATTTATTTTGTTTGAAAGCTAGGCCTGCTCCAAGTGTAACGTGTGAAAGTCGAGGTGGTCCATATTACAGTAATTCGGTAATATGGACTACCAACCACCATTAACTTCCACCTCGCACATTCAGCTCCTATTTACAACTGGAAAGTGCATGATAACTTCCATTCTTCCGATTAAATTAAGTATCATTGTCACAAAATAATTTTATTGATCAGTATCATAAGTATTTAGTTATCACAAATGACTCATGGGTAGCACAAAATACGAAAATTAATGACCAAATAGGGTGCAGAAGGGTAGGTAGAATTATATTACGCTTTATACCGTATGTCACAGAAATTGTTGACTATTCTGTAGTTATAGGTATATACGTTCCAAGTTATAGTAATCTGTGGTTATACCATTAATACCTATACAGGTTATAGGTACTCGTTACTGTGGTTATACTATATATTAGTTAATACCAAAAGATGCATAGAAACCGGGGTGTTCGACTGATTAGTTTTTTTGTGATGCACTGTTGGGAACCTTTGGTGTAATAATGAAAATTACTTGAGTTTTATCCTAACACCAAATCGTTATTTTAACACCTCGACACGTGTTCACATCACTGTGGACAGCACGTTTGTGCTGTCCACAGTGATGTGAACTGTCAGGAATATACGTGCTTGTTTCTTTCCTGAATACATCGTATTCTAACCCTCCATATTGGCACCTCAATACCAAAACGTCAAGAAATGGAAGTTATCCTTTATTTTCTAACTCATACGTGAATTTTATTGATGAAAATATATTATTTGAAAAGGAAACAAAGTCCTCAATATTCGATTTATTGTTATGGTAATGTCCACAGTGATGTGGAGGAATATACCTGTACGTGATTGTTTCTCTTCTAAATACATCCTGCTCTAGCCCTCCATATTGGCTCCTCATCATCAAAACGTCAGTAATATTCATTACTACACCAAAGCACCGTATAGAAGTAGTATATAGTATATATAAGTAGAGTAGTGTTTACTTCTATACGGTGACCAAAGGTTTCTAACAGTGCATCACAAGTTGAAGAGGAAGATTAAAATGTTTAATCTTCCTCTTGAAGATGATCACTTTGTAATCGAAACACGTGTCGAGGTGTTAAAAATAACGGTTTGGTGTTAGGATAAAATTCCGGTAATATTCAGTTTTTGTTTTGTTAAAAACTCTCGATGGGATAAATGAGAATGGTCCAACTATGTGAGGATTCCGAGAGGAATCACTTTCTAATGCATAAAGAAGAGATTATGAAAAATTATATTCTATATATGTGATTTTTGTGGATGCATTAAACAAAAGGAAATAAAAAATTGGAAAGAAGAACTCGCCCTATTGGTAGATGCCATAAACTGGTATTCAAATTGAAAGAAAATGGATACTACAAAGAAGTCAAATGTGATTTATAACATTCCTTATAACAATTATAACTTGGATTATATTGGAACAACATCTAGAATTCTTAAAGATAGAATAACTTTACATAAAAGTGATATAAAGCTTAATAAGAAATCATGTGCATTAGCGCCACATTCTATAGAAAAAGGACATAAACCAAATTACTCTAATATCAAAGTTTTACATACAGAAAAAATTATTTCCTAACACCTTTTTCTTGACATGGTTGAAATTAATAAGTCTTCTGATTGTATGAATAAGAGAACTGATATTGATAATCTCAGCAGTATATATATACAGTAACTTATTGGAACTACACCAAAAAACATAATGATAATAATGAAAATTATATAAATCAACTCTCCCTTTAGAGTCAAAGATTATCAAATCATCATGCCCATTGAAAAATGACATTTATGTGAAGGTATGACATTTGTCAAATCAAAAAATCCATTAATTCTTAACTTTCTTTCGTTGATTTATATGTTCAGTTCATTAAGATTAGTTAGACAAGTTAACAACAACCAGCATCTAGATGCCTATGAGAGTGTAGAAATGAATAAACATATATTATGAATAATGATGGTGGACCAATACCTAATAGTATACTATATAGCTTGTTAAAATAATATTTTATTTATTAGATTTACTTGACTGTTACATAAGGACACATAGTAAAATTAATTTAAGACTATTAGATAAGGCAATATTGTGAAATTAGTTTTATATAGCTTATAAAATTTTAATTATTATAGATTCACCTAACTATTACATAAGGAAACATTATAAAATTAATTTGAGATTAGTAACCAGGTACCTAGAACAAGTATCTATGGTATAAATAAGAATATATAGCTTTGTAAGTATGATTAGTTTGTTCTTCCTCTTGAAGATGATCATTTGGTAATCGAAACACGTGTCGAGGTGTTAAAATAACGGTTTGGTGTTCTCCAGTTATATTCTTCCTCTCGAAGATAATCACTTGAAGATGATCACAGTTCAATCTTCCTCTTGAAGATGATCATTTGGTGATTGAAACACGTATCGAGGTGTAAAAAATGACGATTTTCGATCACCAAGTGATCATCTTCAAGAGGAAGAATAAACAGTTTAATCTTCCTCTAGAAGATGATCACAGTTTAATCTTCCTCTTGAAGTTGATCACTTGGTGATCGAAACACGTGTTAAAATAACGATTTGGTGTTAAAATAAAACTCAAGTGATATTCATTACTACACCAAAGGTTCCAAATAATGCATCACAAAAAAACTAATCAGTCGAAAACCCCGGTTTCTATGCATCTTTTGATATTAACTAATATATAGTATAACCTCTATAGGTGTTAATGGTATAACCACAGATTATTATAACTCAATTTCTGTGATATAAGGTATAAAGCGTAATATACTTCTACCAGTGAAATTTCAAAAATTATGGACTTGTACATGTACCAATTGAACGAATAATGCATTATATTATATTTCTTCTCCGAAACAATCAACTTGTCTATGCAATTCAGCCTTTTGAAAATATCAGAGATGGTTCAATGGAACCCACTATTAAAAAACAATTGTTATTGTTCACTGCCAAGTAAGTAATTGAGTATTACGTAACCTTCAAGTAGTTGAGCTCAGGTTGGCACTGATGTATTTATGATACCATGGAAAATTGAAAGGGTAGCTGAGTTTCCTAATTATTCCGTAAAGACAGTTTTACAAACTGACTACAGCAGATACTAGTTCGTAATATCGGAGTAACTATGGATGCATATATATTTCCCAATAATAGACCAAATTTGGTTTGTTTCATTCTAAATATTTTTTTTGTAACTGAAAGTGTAAGTTCCAAAATAAGTCATTTTGATTTAATTAAATTGAATAATTAAAATTGTTTAGTTACAAAACTGATCACAAATTGCCAAATCATAATAAAATTATTAGGCAATAAAAAATAAATAGGATGAATTATTTGACCTTGGGGTCTGACAGAGTGTCAAATACACCAGTCTTTCAAAAATCAAATGCTGAGTCATTCAAAATATTTATTAAACAAAATTCCAAACAGCAATCGACATAGTTTTCAAATACATCATACTCATTATTCTAAGCAGTATCAAAATATTTTTGTATCAAAATCAAATTGATAATTTAACACAGAAATTGACACACACAAACAGACAAAGCAATCTTAACGTAAAACATTCTTCACGGTAAGTACAAAAGTTATTCAAGAGTAAGTACAAAAGCTAAGTCTCGAATGTATGAAAATCTACCGAAAAGTTTACCACAGCCCTGAAGAGAATCCACCAGGAGGTACTCTATTGGTGCGAGATGGTTGTGGGGCTGCAGGTTCACTACCTAGCTGCGGAGGTCCTGTGGGAGTTTTCACAGGGCTAGGGGGCACTGTTTTAGCATTAGTACCTTCTAGAATCGAAGAAGCATTACGGCCATTGTCTTTTTTGACTTGCGGGTCTGCTGCGCTTCCAAAAATATCTGTGTGGCCACCTCCGGGAGGTCTCAATACTCTGCTGGAGTTGCGGGCATTGTCGGTCAAACCAATATTGAAATTTGTTGAAGTCATTCTGTAACAAACGCAAAAATTAATTTGACAATACTATAAACAAAATTCACAATGAATATGTCACCTTTAGGGTGTTCTGAATGTTTCGCGTGTATACTTTGCGGCGGTTACAAAGGAACTAGTTTGCACCGGATTTCTCTAGAGATAAAGAAAGTGAAACAAAAAAACGAAAAGAAAAGTCGTTACGTTTCGCACGGGAGAACTCTAAATTTGGTTGGTTGACCGCGTGTTCAGTCAACTCGCCTTTGTTTTAAATTTCATTACATGGGTTGGGTCTTCCATATATAATTCTTTTGAAAATATAAAATGACTGCTCAAACACAATAAAACATTGATGACTTACATGTTACAAATAAGCCGAACACCACACAACAAATACTAAATTCAAATTACAGTTCAAGTTGCATTCACCTGTTCACAGAATATTTTTATTTTGGTATTCAACTCTTTTCAAGTACTATTATGGTTTAGGGAAGGAGTAATTGACAATTGACAGTAGTTTCCAATGATATCGTATTGTAGTAGATCCAGAAATAAACAAACAATCCTGCTCTAAAATGGAACTATCATTCCGGAAATTGGCTTCTTGACAGACACAATGTCAAAATTTGATCCTGTTTGTTCATCAGTAACGCCACAAACCACTTAAGTAGTTTGTGAGTTACGCTTCGCAACGGTAGAATCAGTGTCTGTATTATATATTTTTTTTTATTTATTTGTAAAATCAGCCTTTAGTAGCTCCACAAATCATTATAAGTTTCAAGCCGATGTATGATGAGTTTTCCGATACAAATTAAACTTGTAACATTTTTTTTTACTGTACGCAGGATCTTTCTAATTGATTATATGTTGACATTTTTCAAATGGAACTATTCAAGAGAAGACTGATCACTGTTCAAGAATTGGGATCTGCACTAACATATGACTCACCTTGTGAAGATGCAGCTTGTTCGAAATATTCCAATGTAAATTGTATCATTATGTCTCAGTTTCAATATATTTTATTTTAACAAGTACTTTATCCCCAAATGAAACATACATTTCTTTATTAAATAATACAAAATTGAACTGCCGATTTTTTTACGTATTGAAAAAAATGTATTTTTTTAATATCATTGATAATTCATAATAACTGGAGTTGATTGTATTACTATTGATGATTATGGTCGTACTCCAGTTTTTTGAATGTTCATAAGATAAGCATGAGTGAAGGTAGAGTTTGAGGGAAGTTATTCCAATTCAAGGTCAATTAGAGTTCAAATTGTAAGTTATTTGAAAATTTCTATATTTCAGCGAAAAAATAGTTAAGAGAAATTATTCTCACCGTTTGAAATATCTGAGGATTCCCATAATACCTTGAAATGGTAAATTGAAACCTGTTCTCATTAACTTCGTCCTATTGTTTGAAATTATGGAGTTCATAATATTACCTACAGCCAAGATGTGTCCTAGAGATCTTTCTCTTAAATTTGTCATGAATAGCAGGTATATTGGCATAGGTTGAAACATAGCAATCACGTCAGCAATCCACTTCAATTCTGCAAAAGTTATTGTCAAGACTATTCATCTTTATGTATAAAAACATATAAATTGCTACGAAAATAATCAATCGTGTTTATATTGCAAGGGGTAAATATGCTTTGGACAGATTAATTTTTGTATAAAGATGAAGAAGTAGATATCCAAAGCCCTTCTTTCCCAATAATTTAATTTGTAATTGTTTTTTAAATTTTTTCAATATTTACAATCCACTTCAATTCTGCAAAAGTTATTGTCAAGACTATTCATCTTTATGTATAAAAATATATAAATTGCTACGAAAATAATCAATCGTGTTTATATTGCAAGGGGTAAATATGCTTTGGACAGATTAATTTTTGTATAAAGATGAAGAAGTAGATATCCAAAGCCCTTCTTTCCCAATAATTTAATTTGTAATTGTTTTTTAAATTTTTTCAATATTTACAATCGAAATGGTATCCTTTACACGGAACCACCATTGGTTGTTCATTTTGCAAGATGACAGTGTCAGGAAATGAGAAGTGCATTGTTTGCTGGTTACCATAAAATATCGTTTTTTATAAAAGTAATTTGTTCACTGTTATAAATGTGATGGGGCTAAGTTAAAACAAATTGTTTTTGTGTATTAAGATTAAAATCTATGTGTGACATCGGTTGTTGTTTCTTAAGTGGGAATCACAGAACTCGGCCAAGAAATTGAAGATGTGTTCCAAAAGTATCGAAAAATGTTATTTGATGTTTTTAAAATCACTACTATTGTGACTATTGATAACTGGTTCACCTTCATTTTTATTGTCTACAAATTATAATAAATTTTTATTGTTTAATTTATTTAATTACACATTCCTTTTTATTTTAGGTCACAATAATTTGTTCGCTTTACAAATAAGTATATCTGTAGTTTTCAATTTCCATACTCTAATTTTCTTTATTGAATCTCTTATGTGTTTTTAGAACCCGAGAAGTGATTTGGCAAGGATATGTTTATCATTTGGAAATACGTGATCGGAGCTATTCACGGATCAAAGACGTCTTGAGCAATTAGAAGGTATGTAATTATCACCTGATGTGTGCCAAAACCACGCAAAACGATACAATTCTCAAAACAAACATTCATCTCTCAGGCACTTATGTAGTTGGATAACTGGTAAACAGTCTTTCGCCCTTTAGCGCCCTCTGAAGATACTTCTGGAAGATACCTTTTCACGGTGACACACACAGTAGGAGAAAAGGTGTGTATTTGAAAAATAAGCTAACGTTTTTCAAAATGGAGATATATGATTTATATTCGAGTTCTCATGACCTTGATATAACAGAGAGCAACTTCTTATGTATTCCATCCTTATTTTCAGTGAATATGATTATATGAATATTAAAGAAAAAAAGTAAGAAACATATTTCAGTAGAGTATATATGCGTGTATTTAGGTAATATTTGTTTTATTTATTTTTTGGAAAATTTTGCAGATTGAGAATGTCGCTAGAAAAATTCTAAATGTATGTAAAACAATACTGATGAAATACTTCCAATTTTGTTGATTAGGTACTTCCCTCAGTGCATTAAATGGTGGAAGACTACCTAGGCAGCGTTTATGGAATTTTACAGGGATTAGATGCATGAAATAAACATGATTCATTGTTATATTTTACATAAATCATGAAGGATGGATTCGGGAATATTTTTTGAGTTTTGGTTTTATAGAAATAATCTTAGTATATATCCCAAGTTCAATCGATTAAAATGCATGCGAATCCAGTATCATAAAACGAGATCTTAGTAGTTTCTTTAGATAAATTCTATTTTAACAAAGGTTTAGAAAGTGTATAGTGATTCTCCCTACAATCTACTTATACAGGTCTGGATCATACATCACTCTTTGTTAGAGATTGTTTTCAAAAAATATAAAATTTGCTTCGAGTTAAAGTGTACCTCTGTAAGGAGGTGATGATTCTGAAATTCCTTTCATATCAATCTAATGATTGAGGAGATTAAATTTGTTCTTTGAGAACCCACGGACCGAGTTGCAAACTCATTCATTTATTTCTAGTGAGGAAGCTATGGTGTTGACAAACCCATCTAGAAATAAAAATGTTTATAAAAACCGTAATTACTATCATGGATAGTGTTATCACAGTATATAAGTAAACACTTACTTCTATACGGTGGTGTTATTGATTTTCTTCAAGTAGCGGGTCAGTTAAAAACCATAACTACCGTTTGAAGTATAAACTAAATAGAAAAAAATAAATTTCGTATAATTTGAAAGGTTATGAAACTATAGTTGTTTCGAAAGAACTTTTTCTTTAAATTGAAAGGGCGATATTTTTAGGAGATAATGGTTTTGAGGAAGAAAGGTTTCGACTTTCTACTCCTCAATCTTTTTACAAAAAATGTAAGAAACTTCTAAATGTTCATGCGAAAGTAGTCATTTCGGGAGTTTTTTTTCCAATTTGTATATAAATGAAACTTCTAGGCAAGATCTACATCTTGTCTAGATAACTTTGTATTTCCCATGATGGGAAATAAAAAGACAAAAACCTTTTTTTCCATAATACATATAATCATCAATTCAGAAATTTCCCACGATTTTAGTTTTTCATTACATTTTTTGTCAACAGATATATTCAGGGAAATTACATCTACAATGGAAGATATCAGCCGCAACATAAATCAATACCAAAAAGTTAAAGTGGATAGTGAAAGACAAGTTCTCCTCAATAGGAAGATTAAACAAGCAACAATGACTTAGAACTTGCTCTTGGTACCACTTTATGTATTGTGAAACACTGAATATCTGAACTGCAAGTTAGACTTCAGACAAAATCCCCTAGGATTGGTCCACTTTAAGACATTCAAACATCCTCCAAAGAATGTCACTAAACAATTGCTAGACTATAGAAAGGATGACCTATGTTGTCTAATAGGCATACTTACAGATAACTATCGTTTGAATAATCACAAGGAGATTTGGACCATTGAGACTGGGTATGCCAAAAAGGAAAGACTGGTGGATGATGATAAGAACACATAACTTGTGCCTGCACCTGCCAGGCTGCTAATCAAATTAAGTTTTCAATATTTGGTAGAGTTTCAATCTTGCAAATGAACTTGAAATATCAATCACCAAATCACCATTAAGAGGCTGGATTCACTGGTGGACTCATGCTGAATCTAATTTACCCATTCTGATACTCCAAGTTGAATAAAGCTTAATCATTGCATTGAGTATATTTACATACGGTCAAGATTAAACTACAAATATATCTATAATCAAAACAACATTATATGTTACAACAAACTTACTCATAAATAAAAACAGTAAATTACGATAAATGGTAGAGTAACCACAAAAGAAACTCAGGGAATTCAAACTGAACAGGAATTCACTTCAAACAACGTTCTGCTTGTAGAAAAACAAATGGTTAACTTGGTGATGTCTGTAGGCTTGACTCTCCAGATATATTTCCATCGTACTCCATAGTAGTTTTACCTGAAAGTCATTATAAAATAGGCACTTTAGAGGAGACTAGACATTTATTTACTTTTCAGTTCACTTTTCCTAATGGTAAGACCCCACTTTCATTTTCTTGTGCCTTCTTTGCTGTAAAGATCCTTCAATATCTGATGTATCTGATTCAGTTTCGTTGAATACGGAATCCTTCAGGTCATCATCTAAGTCTATATTGAATGATCCAGTGGCTTTGGCCCTTTCTAAAGTACGAACTGAAACAAATGAATCACTGTTATAATTCAAGAAATTCTCATATTATTTTCACAATCCCCATTTCCAGAAACAACTGCGCTATGAAAATTTCATACAAGAATGTTCAACAAGATGACAGTGATATCTCTCCCGCTAGTACTTCGTCAATTACTTTTTGGAAATTGGAATTTGCAGACATCTGCCAGTGAGAGAGTCATATCAAAAGTTCATTGGTTTACAATAAAATAGATATTTTGAAATATTCATCTCTCTCAACTACCTACACCATAGGTTCTGGTAAATGTCTTGACAGAAAACAACTACTTCCCCAACTAATATCACTCTGGATATTGAATTATATCTGACATACAAATATATACCTCAGTGTATTTTGTTGTCTTATAAAAACAAAATTGTCCAATATAATCAATGTGATATGTGAATCTAATAAATTGATCCTTACTTTGAGCTTCAAGGAGATTATTTTGCCTCTTCAGATCATCAATATCTTGTTGATGGGAATTGTTCTTTTTCCTCATGAAAAGTATATATTCGGCCGCCTTTTTGAGAATTTGAGCTCGACTGGCCTGAAAGCAAAAAACTTAAATAATTTGCATGATACATTTTTTTTGAAAGACATACCACTTTTTCTCCATTCAGAGCAGGTACAGAGTCTCGTAAACTACTGAAACTGTCTTTTATGTGATCACGTCGTTTTCTCTCCAGGGCGTTGTGATGAGCCCTTTTCTCTGCCTTGAAAATTACAATTGATTATATTATAAGACAAGCTTTATTAGATAATACAATTATAGTGCCACACAAGATACTGAAAATTCAATAGAAGAGAATTTATGACAGCGGGAAATAAATAATGGACATGAACTGGACAACTGTTAAACATAAATGCTAGGACTGGCCATTACGACGAGTTGTAGAACTAATTCGTAGTATTCCCAGTCTCGACTGCAAATGGTTCTTTGCCGAGATCCATTCAGAAGATTTATCATCTAGAATGCAAAGACAACAAAAATATTTTTGAATGGAATGTTTTCATTATGTGAACACGTTTGAAATGGATGAATAAAGGTACATAGTAAGCGATCCTGATAGAAGGTGTCATTTTATAAGTTATTGTTATCCATTTTTTGACAGTTTCAATTTTTGAGTAGCCTACAAGTTTTCATATCAGATTCGTACTGAGTGGGCGAAAATACAAAAGTCAAACAAAAATATTTTCAAAAACTAGGACGATCCGTTAAAAGGAATATTTACGCAGACGGGATGTTAGACATAATATAAATATCACTTTAGTCGTAATACTAAACACTGACAATTCTTGATTTATTTCTTTCTTACCTGTGAATAATACTGGCTTCCAGATGTTTGCCTAGGCGTTGCCTGACGTGAATCAGAATCTTCACCTTCCTAAAAAATAATTTTGTATCTGTTAATACCCATAGATATTGATCCAACCATTAATTGTTCTGTTAAAAACTAATCAACTCACATCGCTCTCCACATCAATATCTCGATCATCATCACTCATTTTAATATGGAATTACTGATGTGTATTAAGCAATAGAAAATAATAATCTACCGTCTCACTGTCTGATTATTGCAACAACAAAGGCAACGCCATCATAGAAATACTGTGCCATCATTTTATTATCATTCACATTCACGAACACAAATCGACCAGTGTTGCCAATGGAACTTGCTCCAAAACTTGTGACAAAATGCTTGTATATACTTGCAAATTTATGTAAATCCTCACAAAATTTTCGCACAGTTTAGTTTGATTATTCAAGGTTGCGAAACAGATGTTTAGCGAAACGACTGATGATAAATCTATACTTTTATATTTTAACGATCAATAGATAACATAAAAACTAAACATAACTAAAAAAATATGTGCATATCACATAATAATAAAAATTTTGGTGAAAATATCAGACTTTATGTTATACATCAAAATAAAGTATATACTCTTTATGAAACTCAAAAATATTCAAAACTAACTCATTTTCGTAAAATATCACGACATAAATACAAAAAATTTAATGTATTTTTCAAAATAGCTGAAACATCAGTCAGGTATTTCGTTTTCGGTATAAAAGATAAAGATAAGTACGAAATGAATCAAATCAAAATAAAAAATCACCTAATATGTTCTATACACGATATTCATTCACATTCACTCGAAAATTGACATCACTGAAAACTACTAAAACTAAAATAGGTTATGTCGGTGAGACTCAAACGACAGCTCCTGACATAACAGATGACAGATCTCATATTTATAAATATTGTATTTGTAAATAAACTAGTGAGTTCAGTATATTTGTTTCCTTTATTAATATACCAGGAAATAGAGAACAGAGATATATTGAAATTGCACTGGGTTTCTCAATTCTTCGTCGTATAATTCAGATGAATTCATTTTATCCGTATGTAAATACCGAAAGAACCAAGAAAACTGACCACACGCATTTCAGCGCCCTTAAGAAGCAAGAGTTTTGGTGGTTTCTTCCATTAGAGCAACAATTATGTGATTACAAAGAAACAAACCAAAAGCTAAAAAATATATTTATTTTTTGTGTCACTCACTTATCATGTTCATTCTGTGTTATCATCTTAACCGATACTATGCCGATACTTGCCAAGAGTTAAAATTGCTGCGGCACCTCCGCTCCGTGGAAAATGGTTCAGGGAATTTTGATATTTTTTGATTGGTAGCTCTGGTTTTGTGATACAGTTTGCGCTTTAAAAGTTGTGAAAATAAATGAAGTATTTGAATGTTTGTTTTTATTTACTCCCGTCATGAATATAAGTTGTGTAATTTGCAGTGATTTATTTTTACCGACATCAGAGATACACAGCACAACATGTGGACACATGTTTCATTTACCGTGCTTGATGAACTGGTTGGAAAGGTGAATGCATTTTAAGTTTAGGAGCCTTCAACTTCTTAACCACGAATAATATACATTGTCAGTTCCAATATCGATTATAACCATTATATTTATTTCATTAGGTCCAAAAGTTGTCCCCAATGCAGAAATAAAGTTACGGAAAAGTCCCTTCATAGAGTTTTCTTCAATTTGGCTAACGTTGACGTTGGACCAGCTGATGTAGGCTCTTTAGTAAATCAAGTTGAAAACTTACAATTCAAAATAACTCTAGAGAAGAAAAACAAAAAGGAGAATCAGGAGAAAATTCGTACACTTGAATCCATGAATCGTGGTCTGAGGTTTGTTGTATGAAGTTAATTCCCTTAATTGCATTTAGGTTCTGAGTTGAACACATTATGTATGTTTCACAACTAGAACAAAAAATAACATTATTTCCTGATGTTTTTCCAATTCCATATACAAGCTTTGAATAAAATTAAAGAAATTTCAATTCAGAGATGCTATGTGGTATTATTTTCTTGGGAAGGCAGTAGCTTAGACATAGACATATTTATTCAGACATATTTACAAGACAATTTTATGCTTTGCACTAGAAAATATGATGAAATATGAAAATGATGAAAATATATTTATTTTACAAGAGAAAGCTATCACAATTTTACTTGGATATTTGGTGTACTAACCATGACTGGTAAGTATGGTCCAAATGAAGACATCCAAAAATTATTTTAAATAGGACACCTCAAGAGCTATTAGAATCACCTCCAAGAACCTTATGAAAATGTTTGTGGTTTTGAAGTTATTATAAATACAATGAATTACTTGATGAACATAACACTATCCATGAAAAAATGTTACAATTTCCATACCATAAATTTTCTTCAAGACTTGTTTCACTACACAGTACTTCATTCTGTTGAACTTTTAAATCAAACTATTCTATAAAACTCAATTAGATAAAGGAGTAATTCTGGTTGAACAGGTAGATTTAAAATAAACAATTACAATGCAATATCACTTTTAGGAAAACAGGTAATTTATGATTGTTTCCATTCAAGTGAGAAATCCTCTGATACTAATTCACTAATCATAATTTGATTATTTACTGAATCAAAAGTTTTTAGTGAATCAAATAAAATATGTAACATACTTTCCTTAATGAATATTTTGGTATTAATAAACAATTTTCAATTCAGAGTTGATAATTCAACTTTGCTTTGTTCAAACATGATTTCTTTATTATAGATGAACATTTTTGTATATCAATTATTTTTTGCATGAAATAACAATTCATAGAGATCATGTAACAAAAAATACTGAAAAACATGCATCTCAGAAAAATAATAAAAAATATTCAAGCTGGTCCAGCCAAAAATTCTTTCAGGAACATTGAAAAAGTAATAACTTGAATTGATTGATTGAATATATGTTTATTATCTTAAGAAATAAAGATCTGTAGCTCTAAGGTGTTCTATCTAAACAAAATTTTTGGACGTCTCTGTTTGGGTCATTCTATATAAGAGTGCCTGATATTTGTTTTCAAATGTATGAAGTGCATAACATACAACAATTTGAATACCTGACATCACAGTAGGGAGTAGGATAGGCAGCCATATTAGTATATTGAAAAAAATCCCACCATAATGACGGCAACAACCTTCCGTAATGAGGGCATCTGTAAGTCAGTTATACCTGAGCATAACAGTTTGCTGACTTGCTCAGAAGAAAACTTTCCTGATTCAGATTATGTTTCTGCTGCTCAAACACTTGGTGCAAGGTAGATTTATGAAATATCCAGTTCTGAAGGAGATGTTGAGTATCTTCCTGACTGTCATCATCTGGCTCTGCTCTGTGACGAGAGAGAGCCTGGTATCTCTTAGGTTCCACTAGTGACACTAAGTAGACTCAGAGAGATGTCATTTGGGTCTCTCAGAAGTCGAAACTTGTGCGAGCCAAGGATTAACGATATATTACCTTTTGACGTGCGATTCCTAGCACAGGTTACACAATGGAAAGTGAAAATCGATCGTATGGCCTTGCGGCTTCAACCACTGATTCACACAGCAATCGATTGAGTGCAGGGGGTAGACCACCCACTCCAACCCAACGGGCTACCATTTCAGATCAGTTCTATTTGAATTTTAGTGTATTTATAGTTCATATTTGTAACATAGCGGTATTTTTCATATTCAGTTTATAAAATTATGAACCCCAAATCATTTGTCCTTAGTTTTAATTGAATGCATTTGTAGGATTATACTATTCTTTTTTTATCGACATTCACAGGCAGCCTTTTGGTGATGGAGAGTAGGGCAAACGCCCCCCAAGCGCAGAGCCTTTTGTGTATACTGGCACTGTTTTTCTCAATATAGGTCAAAACGATGACTGTTTGTTTTGTGTCTGTCTGTCTATTTTTTTAAATAAAGCTTTTTCTTTCTATCCATACAAGTTGTCTCACTAGGTCATGTTCCAAAGTGAAGGTGATAGAGGAGGTCATTTCTGATAAAAAAGATCATCTGTTTCCGTAATTTTTATTTTTGTAATTTTTGCAAAAAAACCTTGTGTGACAGACAGTGTGGTTGTCTCACTTACTCTTACACAGAGACTGTGAGGAAATTATTTGATCCTGGCGATCCTGATCGGGATAATGAGATAAACTTATGAAATTATTGTATTGCCACCGATTCTTGATAAGTGTACAAAGTTTAAAATACATCTGCCTATTTAAAGTTAGTGAAAATCGAGCCCAAAGGAGTCTGTTACAAAAACTTGACGTCTTCTTCAGATAGAACGGTAGTTTTGGAGAGATATGTCAGAATTAATATCTTCCAGCATATTATTTTCTAAGGAAATCCATATTTCTTTTCAAATACTCGAAATTATCAGGGAATAATAATAATAATTATAGAATTTTATTTCTTCCAAAGACAATTACATAACTGTCACAACCATCAAAGAAAAAAATTACATTTAGAGACTAAGCAGTTCACANTTCAATTCAAAGAAAAAAATTACATTTAGAGACTAAGCAGTTCACAAGAAGAAACATATGCAATGTATGTCAGTGAAGTGAGTACTGAATAAAATCAGACAAAGAATAACAACAGTTTTGTGACACAAAAATTTCGATGTTTTTTTTTTGGAAATCTGAACATTAAGAACAATTTTTAAATCTGCACTAATATTGTTGAATATTTTTGAGTCACAATATAATTATATTTAGCATGTGGTATATGATAATTAAGTCATCATTTGCCTTGATCTGTTGAAATCTGTTTTTCCGTTAACCAGCTATCGTCCCCTACGAATAACAACCCTCGAAATTCGAAACTTCCACAATCTGAGAAATTAACAAAGCTAAATCAATAGAGAATCTGCTGAATATCTGTGAAGTTATTCTGGAAATAATCCTTTGCCATTTTCAAAACAAAAAGAAAAATTTGAACGATGCCTCAATTACATATAGCTATATTTCCTTTGATTTATGTCAATAGTCTACATGAATACACATACAGGATGTTTTCTGAGAATTCAGTTCAGGTTTATATTTCTCTATTTTCAGATTTTGGGAGGTTATTCACCAAAAAGCAGTAAGAACCGTTGACTCCTTGACAAAAAATGTCTTTAAAAGAATAGCATAGTTTCATTATTGACTTTAAATTGAGATTTGTTTCAGAAAAAATAGAGGGTGTTCCATAATATATTGAGAAGGAAGAGTCAATATATCAATTTTTTCAAAATAGTTCTTATAATTTGTTGATTTTGAGATACTAGTCAACTCTTTTCTGAGTTCTAAAAACATCATCAAATGATGTGGAAGCTGTTTAGAATTATAGTCCATATCACAGCCTGGACTCAATAAAAGTATAGTAGTGATTTATCAGTTGGTTTCCAGTGAGAACAATCCGTGAGTTTTTCAATATGTATGCCTCATAGTTTAAACCAGAGACTAATTGAGAACAGGGAGTTTTGAAATTCAAATGATCATCATTGTGTACTCCAAGGAATTTTATAACTTGCTGTTTCTGCAAATCAGTGTCTTAATTTTGAGACTTGAAGTTTTAACAGATTTTTTGTATATTATGAAAATGTAGAGTTACTTGAATTAACAGACAGGAAGCAAACCCATGCCTTGTTTAAACATACTGAGGTATTACCACGAAACCAATATGGCCAATGTGAGTCTAAATTATTGATAAAAATTTTATTTTCATATTGTAGATGAGAGCACATTATTCTCAGGAAAACCGACCTACTTGTCATTTTTTAACAAATAAGATCTTGCACAAAATATATCTTTTACCGAAAAATATATCTTTGTTGGCTGTGTTGTCTTGAGCATTTAAACTCGTTCTAAAGTGAAAAAATTAAGCTCCTAGTTTTTCAAAAACCGTGAAATTTTCACAAATATTCTGCAAATGAAACACCAACAATCCTGCCATTTACTTCTGAAACAACAAAGAGTACTTTCGGTTTTCACATAATTTTTGTAACAAAAACAAGGTTTTTGTAAAAATCCCGACAATAATAATCACTACCTCTATCACCTCCTTCAGTTTGACCATTACTTATAGGACGCCCTGTTTATCTAACGTTTTTATTCAGAGAGGAAGTTGCCAACCTGGAGAATAAAGAAAAAGTCCACGAGTCTGCTATACATGCTTTGAAGGATCAAATAACGTATTTCAAGTCGAGGGCAAAGGAAACTGATAGACTTTCTGCAGAAATAGTCAGATTAAAAAACAGTATGAAAGATATGGACAATGTGAATGTTGCTATCAATGGTACTAGAGACCAGGTGGACGAAATCTTGAGAAACCAACACAACATCGAATCTCTGGCACTTCTTGCAGCAACTTTGAAGAAGTATGTAGTGGTTCCCTTTGATTAATGAAAATATCAGTTGTGTGCAGAGACTTTAAAACTGTTTCTGTTCAGGGCTCTATTGGATGCAGAAAAACATAAAAGAGAATCGGACTCCAACCTAAAAAGAGCGAAAAATGATGCAAGTAGGTATAAAAGGGAATGCTGTTCTTTGGAATCCCAAGTTGCTGATTTGAGGTAAGAGAGGCCTAAAGAGGTGAGATATTCTTATTGTTCTACTTTTCTTATCTTGATTGAATTCACTTTACAGTGGGATTCAAGGAGTTGAAAAAAAAGTGTATAAAAAAATTCATATTTCACTGCAATTAGCCTTTGGAAATTGTTCAATATACAATATACCAAATGCCAACACAGCACCGTTCATCTCCACATTCATTTTGGCTTTGCTGAGGTGGTTTTTAACTTCTTGTAATGATAATTATTATTATTAGCCTTTCAAGGTCATACAAATTATGAGGTATAAGGTGTCAGTGCAGGATTCTTCACTGAAGTTATTCCTGCATATGCTGTTGGCGATACAACTGCCGCAATAGATTTTCAATTATTGGAACACACTCGTCAGTGCAAGATATTTCATTAAAAAAAACACGATTCACATAAACTAAGCTGTTATTTGGTATCCTGTATTGTGAATAATGCCACTGTAAATTATAATCACAAGTTTTCATTTCCTAGGAGACAACTGCAGACTTTGAAAACAAAATATGAAAAAGAAAAACAGTACATCAAACAAAAAATTGCAGAGAAAAGACTTTACTCAGATGCCACCATAGACATTACTAGTGACGTTAGTTTAACATCTAATGATGGATCTGTGGTATGTTTGGATTCACCTAGTACTAAACAAAGCACTTCCAGTAATACATCACTACCAATGGTAAGTGTAATTGATTTCTCTTTTATTTCAACAAATCCTGTTCATGGATGATCCAATGAAAAAACATCAATTTTCTGCATTTTTTATTTCTTCAAAGCATTGTTCACATCATTTTCTTTCAATATATATTCAAATATCAACTGCTCATACTTTATACTTGAGATTGAGATGTTCCAATGTTTTTGAAATAATTTACCAACGTTTAATTTTCATAAAAATGAGAATTATCTATAGTTCCCATATGTATTCGTATTCACACTTCATTCACAATAGAATGTGTTCTGGGGGGTTATTGCCTTCACAATGTTAATGCCACATTTGAGTGTTGCTCCAAAATTTGGTTAATCTTTCAGTTTATGATTAATGTTCATACCAGCTCTCGATCTAAAGTATGTTGGTCACATTTCAACATACATATGTTTATGTTAAAGAAGACCAAAGCCGTGTCATCCACAAATAATTTCAATTCACTAAACAAATTTAGTTTTGATATCAAATTTATTTCAATGACGAACAGAATCTGTCATGTGCACAAATGTTTTCTTAAAAAAAATCATAATGATGAAAACATATTGAAATCAATCATGATATGGAGACAAGCATATTTTAATGGCAACAAAAAGGTTCGCTACTAAAAAATTCTTCCAAATTATAGAATGGACGAGTGAATAGCAGTTCTTTAACATGTTTTTTAAACAACCCTAATGATTCAATTTCCCTTAAGCTTAGTGGTAAGCAATTATAAATTTTCAGTCCATTATAAATGAGAGATTCCTTTATGAAATTGTTTTTTGGTAGAGGTAGAGGTAATCTCAATTTTTGTGATAATCGTGTGTTATGGCAGGAGGGCACTATAATATATTTGTTACGATTCTTGTGGTATTAAACAAGTGGTTTCTAAAATAAAGATTGAAGTTACTGTGAGGATTCTATCATTTTTGAAAAGGTCCCTGCAAGAATCACACATTTTTACTTTACAGAGAGCCCTTTAGCTCTTTTTTGTACAACTTGCACTATATGTAAGAGTTGTTTGTTGCACACTCCTCAGAAGGCTATGCTAAGACTAGGTGGGCTTCAATGAGAGCAAAATAAGCTGTTTTAGCAGCTGTTGACCCAAATTCATGATATTATCCTAATGGTGTAACATCCCGATGACAATTTTTTGCACAATTTCGTAACATGGTCGTTAAATTTTAATTCATTTTCAATGTGAAATCCTAGAACTCTGGTGGAGTAAAATTTTCAATGTTTTTTGTGCCAAAGCTCGGGACAGAAAGCTCACAGCGGAACGTTAATAGTAGTATTGAAGACAAGCAAGGGATTGTCGCACCAGGTTTTAATTTTTTCAATGTCTACTTCTATCTTGTGATATAATAAGTGCTCATCATTATCATGCCAAATAGTGAAATAGTGAATATTTTTACAATAAAAAAAATAGAAACAGCAAAATTAGCCTATAGTTAATCATGAAAGATTTTTTCCACCCTCGAATATTAGTAAAACTTAAGAAACCTTTTTTAACAACTCCAGAGTCAATTATTTATTGAGTGTAGCTAAATCAAATGTCATTGATTTCATAGGTTGTAGACTTGTTATCTTCTAGGAGCACAGACATCGGTTGAACATTCTATCAGGACTGTTTCTTCAAAAATTGATATCTATCATATTATTTTGCATCCAGTGTTTCATTCATCAGTGAAAAACCTTTTAAAAAGTAAAGATATAAAATTAGGTTTGACCATCACTTGTCGTAATTGATATGATCTTGTTAAAATATTTGAAATTGGGACGGTATCTGGTCAGGTTGACGTGGGTGAAGATGATTCAAGCCGCGAGGCCGGACCATCAAAAGTCCCATTTTACATAAACATTTTGGGGGAAACTTTCCAACTTCAAGTGGTGTGGAAGGTGAAGTTTTCATGTCAAGTAGTGCCATTTCAAAGATAAAATTTCTGTTCAATTACATTTATGACTAATGCATGATCTATTTCAGCCTGAAAGAGTTCAACAAATTTTGAATTCTGATTCGCCCTATTTACCGTTAAAAACCAATGCCACTAGTATGGAGCATAGTTCCCTTTTGAATGGAAAACCTCAACTAGGAAGTGGTACATCTTTTAGTTCAGTAAGTATTAATTTTGTATAAAAATCTACCTATACGTTGCTGAATATTACTGGAGGAAGATTAAATTTTCATGTTGAGGTGATGAAATAACGGTTTGGTGTTGGGATAAATCTCCAATAGTATTCATTACTACATCAAATGTGAGGAGAAAATTAAGTTCCAAGACTAAACTATGCCTGTATTTTTATGATTTTCCCAATTGATCAAAAAAAGAAACTTTCAATAGGCTATATAAATATGATGGAAACTCATTTTTCGTAATACTGATTACTATTGATGAAGTAATAAAATTTTGTTCAGAGCTGAAGAATAAAACTAGTACTGAATATGGCAGTAAAAAACATAGATATTTTCATTTCTAATTTTTCATAGGTGCCTGCGAATTACCAATACCATTGTCACATAATTAATAACTCTTTTTCAACTGGTTCATTCCCAGACAACTTGAAAATATCACTAGTCATGACACTATTAAAAACAGATGACCCAACACTCATAGAAAATCATAGACCGGTAAGCCTGCTACCAACTCTCTCTAAAGTTTTCTGAACTTGCAATGTGTTCTAGACTTCGAAGCTATTTCCATACAGTCCCTCGCAACATGTTTACCTGAAATAGAAGTTCATCGAGGCAGCCATATATGAATTCTTAGAAAAAGTTACTAATGCAAAATGAGAATAAAAATATATCAATGGGTGTCTTTCTAGATCTGTCAAAAGCTTTTGATAGTCTGGATAGTGAAATTCTGTTAGAAAAGATGGAGAGATATAGAATCAGAGGATCCGCGCATGACTTGATAAAGTCTTACTCAGAGGAAATTGCGACATTGATAGGTGTCCCTCAGAATAGTATCATGTGTCCTTTGTTATTTATATTTTACATACATGATTAAGCCTCGGATATTGTGATTAATGAAAATATTATTGGGAAAGATTTATTTTGGCTTTCTACTTCTCCATCTTGATACAAAAATCTGGGAATCTTCCAATGAAAAGAAGGAAGCAATGAATTTCAAAAAATTAAGTCCATAAAAAGAACTGCAGATTCTGAAGTAACTGTGTATAGAAATTGTAAGCGATATCTTTTCTGGTATAAGTCTCGATTTTCTCGAGGGTTTTCATTCATAGAGAGATGATAGTTGTTGACAGAAATGCCCATTTCAAAACCATTTTCTTAACCCAACTTTTCTTGAATAAGTTTGTTTAGGATGATATATCGTAGATTCGGCAATCAACTGTAAAACTATTCCTGAGAAATGTTTTAACATCAGCTATTTATGAAAAAATGTCTTATTTTCTGTCCCATTCCAGTATACTATTTTCAAGACAAATTCTTCGAATAAAGGAGACAAGAAACCTTCCCGAAATGATGTTTATTATAACGGATTAGGAGGATCAGCGAAAGAAGATTTATATCCATCACCAAAACCACTACAGACTGGTTTGAAACGTAGCCGCTCAAACACCACAGTTTCTGCTAGAAAATTCAAAAAACTTTCAGCCTTTCCAACCAAGAAGTGAAATAATGTGTTATATATTTATTGGGAGAGATATTTTATTTTTTTAATTTATAAATATACCTTATTTAAAACTACTTTGTTTGATTGTCTTCAGCTAGCAATGAATGTAGACAAAATCAGAGAAATAGTTTGATTGATATGGGGATATTTCAAAGAAAAGCAAACATTTGTTGACGTAGTGTGTTAATATTTCATGAGAGGTTGATGCTATAACATTTAGAAATATGTATGGGGTATCATTGAATCATTCATGTAGAAAACCCACAAAACTTCCATTGACATAATGAAAGGTCGGAATTTCAAATAAAAACACAGCAAAATAAGGTTAAATTGGAAGGGAATATGTTAAGGAGAGAATAGTTTTTTGGAAAGAAAGTTTTTGGCCTTCTACTTCTCCATCTTGATACAAAAAACATGGGAAGCTTCCAAAGAAAGAAAGGAAGCAAGCAAGCAATCGATTTCAATAATTAACTCTATACAATGATGTGTAGATTATGCAAAAAATTAACTTTCAGAGACAAACTGAAAGAAAAAGCCTTTTTGAAACAGCTATTCTCATAAAAGCATTGAATTACAAGAAAGAAAAATACTTTCGAAACAAATACTTTCATATGAACAATGAATTATATGGAAAAACGCTTTCTCTATTCCGTTTGTATTCGTAATGGGATCGAATCAGATATCATTCACAGGATTTCTACACAATATATTAAATGAAAGGTAAAACTTTCACTTACGTGGAACACTGTCATCCTCACTGCTGGACATCCGATGTTTCGCCGTAGGACACTTGCCTCATAGGCTCTTTAGTAGCCCTGACAAAAAGTCAATTATGAACGAATCGTGTGTTTTTTCTAATAATGTTATCCGTATTTACTATTGAATAGCCGATAAGACAGTTTCTTAAGGCGAAACATCGGATATATAGCAGTGAGGATGACAGTGTTCCATGTAAGTAAAATTTTACTTCTTTCATTAATTATATGTGTAGGAATCATGTGAATGATATCTGATTCAATCCCATTACAAATGTTTGAAATACAAACGTAAAAGTTTCATCATATAATTCAGCGTTGTATAAAAGTATTTGTTTCGAAAGTATTTTCCTTTTGTGTAATTCAATGTTTATATGAAAATAGCTGTATTGAAAAGTCGAAAACAGTTACGTTTTAAGATATCAAATTTGGTAAGTATATTGAAAAAGATTGAGGTAAAATTGAATTGGTCCTTTGAGAAAACCCTCTTTCGTATAAAGGACTGCTGGTGAAATATTCATCCAAAGAGTAAAATGTGTTTTGAATCAGACTTTAACTTAATTTTTGAAAACCCTCAATGGGATATCTTTTATATATTGAAGTAAATTGTACGTTTTTTGGTCTGAAAGTAACTTCAAATCTGGTTCTGCCGACTCTGTGACTGTAGATATACATAATGTTCTTTGTTGTGAGTGATGGCTGGATTTCTTTGTGTGAGGTACAATCACCCATACTGTCTTTTATATGCAGCAAACATGAATATTAGATTAGTTTTTCAAGGCGGTGCGACAGAACAAATTCTTGCATTATTTTTAGTTTGTACTTTAAACCCAAGTGTATTTGTTACTCGCATCGAATTACAGTTTCCTGTATTTGGTGCTTTTACCATTTACTGATATATGTACCCTCAAGTTAGGCAATGAACACTTCATTGGTGGCTGTGGCTATTACTTTTTTGTAGTTTTTCTAGGTTCAGGTTTTTCTTTCTCGGCTGTCGACCGGAGAAAATTTTCAGTTTAGAGCGAGACGATTACGCTATTGGACAAATTCAATCATTGTTCTAAAATATTTTGCTAAAGTCCTTAAGAACACGATTTTGTCAGTCCTGTCCTGTGATTTATTTTAGGTGGGTAATGAGTAATTTTATAATTTGATTCATCAAATTCCTTAAAAAATAATATTAATCTACTTCAAAGATATCGAATTTTATGTATATTTGGCATTCAAAATGGTTTCATTAGAATTACGTCATATTATTGCTTCATTAGACAATAAATGTAATACATATGAAATCCTAAATGCCTAAATTGTTAAACAAATTTTTGAAACTGCTGGACATGCTATATTGAATCTTATCAATACTTCGCTTCAGACTGGAAAGATCCCAGATCTGCTAAAAATTAGTACTATTATTCCAATTCCTAAGGTACATAAAACTATCAGAGCTGAGGAATTTAGGCCTATTAATACGTTGCCGCCTATTGAGAAAGTACTTAAGTATGCTGTTTACAATCAATTGCTGAACTTTGTGAATGAAAATGAGATTCTGTTTGATAATCAGTCAGGAAACAAATTAGATAACAAGTTTGTAGCAGCGGTATTTTTAGATTTGAAGAGAGCTTTCGAAACAATCGACAGAAATATAATCCTCAGCAAAATGAAAATATACGGAATTGAGGGCAAAGTGTATGAATGATTTTATAACTATTTTGAAGACAGAAAACAAAGAGTAAGAATCAATGGTACAATTTCAAATGAAATATTAAACGATAAAGGAGTACCCCAGGGAAGTATTTTGGTCCCTTACTATTCATTTTATATTTAAATGATAATAATATACATGTCGACCGTGAATTTATTAACTTGTTTGCAGACGATACTCTATTAGCTTGTAGTGATATAAGCCTGGATGCTTCTGTACAGAAAATGAATGTGATATTGCAAAAAGTTGACAAACATATAAAAATTAATAAATTGAATGTGAGTAAAACTACTGCCATGATCCTCACTTCGAAATACAAATATAAAAAATCAATATAAACCAGATAAATATTTCTATCAATGATGAACATATAAGAGTGAATAATACATAAATTTTTTTTGAAAAAACTATATTTAACTCTAGAATTTCAAAGCATCTGTCTGTAAACACAAATATATTAGCCTATAAAACAATTATACAACCACACTTTGATTATATACTCTTTCAATTCGAACAAACAGGCACAACTAAAAAGTAGAGGAATGAGAATTATATTGAGAGGAAATTGATATACTCCCATAATTACAATATTAACAACCCTAACTCAGCTTTCAGTATCCCAGAGACTTTTATACCAGACAATGATATTTGTGCATAAAATTGTTAATGATTTAACTGGAACATATCTTACAAAATCTATTTGTTCCAATTATGATATTCACAAATATTACACTAGACATAATCTTGACATACATATACTTAGAATTAATACCAAAATCAGTATGAACTCAGTATATGTCAAAGGTGTTGATACGTACAACAAATTGCCTCATTTTCAATTGAATCAGCTTCAACTTTAAAAAGGTTCAAAACTGATCTACTGCATCATATTTATATTAATCAATTATTTGTTAGTTATAATTTTGTTATTGTATATTAGGAATGTATCCTACTTAACAAATAAATGTTATTATTATTCTAGTTTATTCCTCACCATTTATTGTAAAATTATGTCCTTAAAAAAATAGCGGAAGAATAGTCTCCAAGATAGTTCAAAGAACATGAACTTTCAGTACTACTACATATCTACTAATCTTGAAAGCTCTAATTCACTGCCAGTTCCAGTTCTCATAAATAATGTATTTCTACAATGAATAAAAAACAAACTTTGAAAATATTTTTTTTAATTATGTCAATTTACATCTATTTCTTAGATTCACGAGCTGCTTTCCTTTCTACAGCTCGTTTGAGTTGCTGTTTGGTACTCAAGTTGTGCCTCTTGGAGAATCGTTGGTTCCTCAAGAATTTGGCATCCATCTGCAAATGAAAAAAGTGATGAAGCAATGAGCTGTAAAACAAAAAAAAAGTTTGACAAATTCATTTGACACTAGTTACTTTTCTCAGCATGCAAGCCAAATAATGACTTAACTGAATTTTCGATACCTCAGGTTACATTATTGCAATTTTCTATAAAATTTTTGAAAACAAAATACATCCATTGTAGTTGATTACGTATCTTTCTAGAACTGTTTTGTGTTTTTTCAATACAAACAACATTAGGCAATTATTTTTTGCATAAATGTCTGTCAGATAATTCAATGTCCAGCGAGGTATTAGCTGGGAAAGTAGTTGTTTTCCGGTAGACATTTACCAGAACCCAGACTTTTTATATTTTATTATGTTTCAATGCCTGTGTCATGGCTCAAGACAGCAATGTTTCGATGCTCCATAAATATTGGGAGTGCTGCTAGGCAACAAGTTTTTATTATCAGAAGAATCACGGAATACAAATTAATTACCAGAATTTAGCTTATTGAAAGAGGGAAGGAAAAAACCCTCGAAAGTGCTGCTTTGTTCCCTCCTGTTCATAATAGAGGACATATGCATCCTCACTCACAAGTGATTTTGGTGAAATTGGGGACACGTGTGAATCGTTGTATTCAGTCCAAGTGCCATTATAAAGGTGTCTGCAATATGCTGTGTAAAGCCCGTTGTAAGTAGTGATTCGAAAGTGCATATAGATTGTAACGACAAGGAGCCACATTGTCTGCTACATAATTGCTCATATCTAATCCTTCTAAAGAAAACTAAATGGCAACATTCAATTTGCCTGTGAATCTTTCCGTTGGAAAGAATATTTTCAAATGAATTACTAAAATACAGGCAAAGTTATGGATTGATAGGAACTTTATGCATTTTCTTCTTTCCTTGCTAATATATGCAAACGATATTCTATCACACTTATGGATATGGGTTTCCCCTAATCTCTGATACAATTTTCAGTTCATATTTAGTTCAGTTCAGTTTTATTAAATGTACTAAATATGATTATATGTTGGTTGAGAAAGAATTTGAATTTTCAATGATTTACTGTCAAGTTTATGATGTATACATGTTATGCCTATATCGATCACCATTATGTAATGAATATGTTTTTCTAGAGCGACTAGAAATGCTGTTATTGCAAATCCCTTCCAAAGCACTTATTATAGTTACGGAGGACTTCTACATACATTTCGAAAATAAACTCTCTAAAGCAACTTCAGAACTAGAAAACATACTGACAATTATTAGGTAACAATGAAGGCTTCAACTCTCTATATAATAGGTACAAAAACATTTATAGAAGAACTATAAGGACTGCAAAACAACTTCATTATATGCAAAAAAAAATGGAAAGGTCTGCAAACAAACAAAAAGAAAGCTGGGTAATCATCAATGACCTCAGGGAAAAAAAATAATATTGCTCCTACGAAAACTGACCTAAAATCTGATTGTATTAACAAATATCACTGCACTGTGTCACATAACTTATCCAAAGATATGAAATCCAATATTAATCCCTTGAATTTTCTTAAAGACAAATCAGTTTCAGAGACGTTTTTTTCATGCCTACGGATGTTATGGAAATTAGAAAAATTCTTAAAGAAATAAAAAATTCAAACTCAGCTGATTGGGATGACATGAGCATAAAAGTATTTACTAAGTTGCCCAAATCCGCTATCACCACTTTGGTGGAAGCTATAAACACAAGCTTCATAACAGGTGTATTTCCGGCATGTTTAAAAACGGCCGTTATTCCTTTGCACAAAGGAGGCGACACTAACAATCCTGCCAACTTTAGGCCCATTACTATGCTACCTACCCTTGCTAAAATCATAGAAAAACTTGTTGAACAAAGAATTATGATGTTTGTGAATAAGCATATTATTAGTAGCAGTTAGTTTGGATTTCAGAGTTTGAAAAACACAGAAGATGCTATGGTTCATCTACTGGAAAACGTTTATCTCAATTTAAATAATATTGAAATAGCAGAGGCCGTTTTTTGCGATCTTTCAAAAGCTTTCAATTGCGTAGATCATGAAATTCTGCTGCAAAAACTAGAAGTGTATGGCTTTAGAGATATATCTTTGAAATAGTTGAGATCATTCCTGTCAGAACGTACTCAGAAAGTCAAACTCCCGGACAACATATCCCATATCCAGTTACTTGTGGTGTTCCACAAGGATCGGTTCTAGGCAGTCAGAGTATCAGCAAATGAATTGGGCACTAATATGGCAAAAAAATGTGTACTTTGCTCTCATGGATTCCCATCTGCGATACAGTATCTGTTTTTGGGGAACGTGTTGCCAATATATGTTTGATAGGGTCTTTGAACAACAAAAATGAGGAGTTAGAAATATGTGTAGAGTTGGATTCAGGGATTCCTGACGACCTTTATTCAGAAGTCATAAAATCTTGACCTTGCCTTCCATACTTATATTGGAAATGGCATGTCTGATGCAAAAAAATATAGGACGGAAATTTTTGCTGCACCACGACGAAATACCAGAAATAAGCTCAATATAGGTATACCGATTCCAATATCATCAAACATTGAGAGATCTTTCATATACAATGGAAAGAAAATGTTCCACTATGTTCCATTTGAGAACAAAGGCATCACATATAACTCTAATTTTAGAAAATTTGTAAAAAAGCTTCTGATTTCAAAGGCCTTCACACTGGTATACATCGATGTTTCGCCATAAGACACTTGCCTTAGGGTTCGTCAGTACCAAATTGGATAACATTATAGAAAATACACACAATTCATTCATAAATTACGATTTTTAATGTCACGGAATAAGTTTGATCTACTTATGTCATCGATGACATCGTAAAGACAATCATTCACCTATTTGATTAAATCCCAGCCAAGAGGTGTCTTATTTGAATTGAAGGGGTTATATTTTTAGAAGTGATTAATTTTTGGGAACGAAAGTTTTTGGCTTTCTACTACTCCAGCTTATATTATTAATTGCAACAAAAGTCCCATGACAATAGTCCACACTTGTAATCTAATTATACCTTCAGATGCCCGTTATGAAGATTTTTTTAAAATGTCAATCAATCAATGAAATATACTTTAATGTCAGAAGAAACATTTCTTATCGACAAAGTCATTGTATGGGTAAAACAAGTTGAAAGGTTAAAAACAATAAAATGGTACCTATATGGTAATAATAAAATGTGTATAAGTAAAATGTACAAGCCAAGTGCTAGCTAGTAAAATAATAAGTAGGTACAGCCAGATGATGAAAACATATCGAAATCAATCATAAATGAGAGATTCCTTAACAAAATTGTTTTTGGTAGAGGTAGAGGTAATCTCAATTTTTGTGATAATCGTGTGTTATGGCAGGAGGGCACTGTAATATATTTGTTACAAATCTTGTGGTATTAAACAAGTGGTTTCTAAAATAAAGATTGAAGTAACTGTGAGAATTCTATTATTTTTGAAAAGGTCCCTGCAAGAATCACACATTTTTACTTTACAGAGAGCCCTTATAGCTCTTTTTTGTACAACTTGCACTATATGTAAGAGTTGTTTGTCGCACACTCCTCAGAAAGCTATGCTAAGACTAGGTGGGCTTCAATGAGAGCAAAATAAGCTGTTTTAGCAGCTGTTGAACCAAATTCATGATATTATACTAATGGCGTAGCATCCCAATGACAATTTTTTGCACAATTTCGTGACATGGTCGTTAAATTTCAATTCATTATCAATGTGAAATCCTAGAAATCTGGTGGAGTAAACATCTTCAATGTTTTTTGGGCCTAAGCTTAGGACAAAAAGCTCACAGCGGCATGTTGATAGATTAGACTTAGTAGCAAATTTTGATGAAATAGTAGTAATATTATCAATGAAGCTACGGTGTTAGCAAAACACTCTAGAATATGGATTCAATTTGTGAAAATTGCTTAATTATTATCATGGATGGTTAATGCCATTTGTTTTTAGATTGTGACCTTCAAGAGTATACAATTATGTATCGCAGCAAGGTAGATCTCTACCGCAGTAGCAGACTAAACGTCGGGTATAAATACCTGCAGACCACTGCTAAAAAGCCAGAAAACATGTACAATTTGTTAGATACTGGCCATGAAAGCCTTCAGACCATGATTAAAATGTAAGTATACAATTGATGGAAATTTTTTGTTTTTTTTTGAGAAAAAGTAAAATAAGCATTCATGTGATAACAGCATGTTGATTGTTTTTCTCTGAATATATGGCATCACTAATGTGAACGACAAAATAATATTGTCCTAGAAAGAAAGTATTCTCACCATCAACCATTTCAATAACACTAAAGCCTTTCGAAAATACACTGACTTTACAGAACCGGACCTATCGAGTCTAGTTCACGCGGTGTAATAATTTAGTGACATGAAAAATCCCTAATTGAACTGGATAACTCTTTACTGCCTTCGATTTGATACAAAAAAACATGCTGGATGAAATTGAACATAAAAAGATTTAAGTTGATTAAATATTTTCCCATCAAGTAAAACCCATATTAGAAATGGCTACTTGAAAACTACCATGAACAATGAGTTCCAAAATATTGCAATGTGAATTCGCAATCCGTAAAGAAACTGTTTTGTTTCATTCGCATTTCCTTGGTAACTGTACTTTTGGCCTTTAGTAACGGCACCACATAGGAACTTGAAATAATTTGGTCCAAGAAAGAATGTATTCTGGCCACCACAAAAGGTATTTCCATTGACCCAAATAAATACTACTAGAAAGAGAATATTCCCACCATCAACCATTTCAATAAAACTAAAGCCTTTCGAAAATACACTGACTTTACAGAACCGGACCTACCGAGTCTAATTCATGCGGTGTAATAATTTAGTGACATGAAAAGTCCTTAATACCTAATTGAACTGGATAACTCTTTACTGCCTTCGACTTAATACAAAAAAACATGCTGGATGAAATTGAACATAAAAAAGATTTAGGTTGAATAAATATTTTCCCATTAAGTAAAACCCATATGAGAAATGGCTACTTGAAAACTACCAACATGAACAAACATTCCAAAATATAATGTCAATTCGCAATCCATAAAAGAACTGTTTTGTTTCATTTGAGAATAAATAAATTAGCATTTCCTTGGTAACTGCACTTTTGCCTTGAATAACGGCACCACATAGGAACTTGAAATAATTTGGTCCAAGAAAGAATGTATTCTGGCCACCACAAAAGGTATTTCCATTGACCCAAATAAATACTTCCCAAAGAGTGTATCATTGATTGTTCCAACAAGGGATGCTATATGCTGATATGCTTCTGTATAGGATCACTACACAATACTTACCCCCAGAGTTGATTCATGGCGAAACCTTTTGGGCTTTTTGATTCCATTACGGTGGGCTTTGCGGTCTGAAAAAATTGATGGCGTAAATATAGTAAATTCAAGGGAATCTTACTAATATACTTACTTTGATTATGATTGGTATGATTCTTTGACTTTGCCATTGTGAAACTAGTGCGATAGCTGAAAATAAAATGTAAGGTTAGATATATGAAAATATGGGTTTTTCAATAATTTACAGCAGACGATCTTCAAATTGAATATTATTTTCAGTGAAATAAATTTATGATGATGAATGTAAACGAAGATAAATAAATTTTTCTTACAATTTTCTTCTCTAACGAATAAAACCGTCAAAAGAGATTTACTTAAGAACTGTCCGCCAGAGGGACGTTTGTTTGATAAATAAATGCATAGAACAACAGAACAGTGAACACAATCTCGCGTTTTATTGGGACTATTTTGATATACTTTCAAATTTTGAGAGTTTTTTGCAATAACTCCTATACTGCACTTACAATTCCCGTCACATTTATGCCTTCCATTCTTCATGTTCCTACTCTCCATTACGCTCAAGTCGATTGAATTTTTGGAATGGTGTAATGAGGGAAATCGAAGTAAACAAAGACTATTCGTCAAAATGTTTGTCAAAATTGTTAGTTCTGTCTTATAGTGTCAATGTTTCTAGAAGTTTTTTGCTGTAAGTAATTTTAGTTGTTCTACCGATATCGGTAGTCATTGAAAAAAAAATTATTCGCCATCTCTCTCTGCAATGTCGAGCAAAGATAGCGAATATCTTCTGGTGCTAATCACATAACTCGTAAATTTATGTATTATATAAATTTGTGAGTCCTATAGGAGTAATATTTCTATCTGCGACCTCATTTTCAAATCAGGTGAAATATCATCTCGGGAGAAAAATCGAATGTTTTTTCCGTTCCGAAAATATAATTGAAAGACATTCGAGTTTTCTCTTGGTGTGAGAGCTCACCGGATTTAGAAATACAACCTATGAAATATGATTAGTGCTGACAAAACGCACTACCATTTTCCCTCTCTTATGTTATTGGCCCTTATTTTCTACGAATATTTGGCCAGCTCATTAGTGAAGATGCAACTTTGTCTGATTTTGAATGTTGAATCCCTAAGTAGAACTTTTCTCCTTTCAGGGCAGCGTCGAAGCATTTCATAATCGGTAGAGCCGTCTCGCATAAAAAAATCCAGGTTGGATAAATTTAAAGTAGGATATCTTTTCTGTGGAAGCAATCACATTTTTTATATTGCCAAGGATTTTTAAACCACATGAAGGTTATTATAATAATCTTTCGGATCCATATTTGGTTTTAAGAAACCCAAGATGATATATTCTTTCAATGTATCTGTAAAATTTTTCCCTGCAATGACCTCATTAAAGACTTTCAATAACTTCTCCTTAGCAATTTCCGGCAATTGTTTCAACATAATACTGTAACATGACATCCTAGTGACTTTCACCGACTACCTACTAGGTCTCTAGCAGGTTTCGAGAACTATCGATGGCGCTATCGATAATTATCGATAGTTTCAACTATCGAATGCTATCGATTATATTTTTAGACTATCGATGGTATTCGATAGTTGTGTTATGTGAGTGATGTCAACGTATCTTGACATTTTTTACTTGATATTGACCGTTGACATAAATGACACAATGAAAGAAGTGAAAAAAAGAGTAGAAAATAACATTATTTAGAACAAAAGTGAGAAAAGAAGAGAAAGATGAAACTTCTTTCATCAGTTTCATCTG